CCTTAAACATTGAGCACCAGAATAGACTGACACAAGGGTTGCATAGTGAAGTCAAACAATAAATCAGTCTAAAACTCACGAGGCCAAGACAGCCAAAAGGTCACAGCCATGGATTTGACAAAAGGACATTTCAGGACACTGGAAACAGAACAGAAGCGTTGGCAGGGGAAACACTTTGTTGGCTTTTTCGTTGCCAACTGCAATCTTAAAACCTCTGAGGTAGCTTGAAATGATCTCAACTATGCACAGTGCAGGCCACAACTGCCGACTCATTGCTGTTGCCAAAGCACCATGCAGTCCACTGTCCTTCTTGAAAAATAAAAAAAGAGGTCGATGCTACGTCCTCTATCTCTGCTTCTCTGTGGGGATTGGACGTTTTTTTCTTTATCAGCAGCATTTCAGACAAACATCTGGCCTGCTGGCGGGAGGAGGATAAAGGATAAAGACATCAACAGTGGCAGAGGGGCCAAGAGAGGCCAAAGGGGGCCCATGCGGGGCCTTGAACGGCCATTGCCAGGCTACAGAAGAAGCCATTTTCCTGGGATTCAGAGTCAACAGGGAACCAAGGTGGCTAGGAGAAATAAGTGGGTTTTTAAAAAAATTAAAATTAAATGGTCTACTTAAAGAAACAGAAATGGTATAAAAAGCCAATAAAAAAACCTTTATGTACTCAAATTTCAAGTAACATGTCAAGAAAGTAAAATTAACAAACAGTGCAATTTGAGTTACACAATCTTCCACAATAAAAAGAGCTGTTGCTTGTAAAAGGAAACTTATTAGGAGTTTTGGGCTTCTATGGTACATTGAGAGTCGAAGACAAACGTAATATCTGAGCATTAATTGGAATAAAACTGATCTATTTTGAGTTGAGTATCATTTTCTCACCAAGATGATAACAGTGCTTGTTGGTGACTCACAGTGACCTTTCACAACCTTATATGGCTGAGTGTAACATTAATGTTCTCCTATGCTGTTTCCTCAACGGTGTTTGGAGCAACAACATATCCTGAAAGAGGTGACACTTATCTGTAAAAAACACATACAAGTTATTGCAAGTGACAAAGTGGGTTGGTGTTTCAGAGTTGAGTGAGATCCAAGGTGTGGCAGCCAAAAAGAACCAAAACAAAGTAAGGCATAATGTAGTGACTTCCCTGCACCAAATTGTAAATGATGTACAGTACTTGTCATCAGGGAATAACAACCAGCAGTTGCTTCAATTGGCAAACCCCTGCATTTCCCACACTAACAAAAATGAACAAGATGGATTGCCAGCAAGCCTCCCACACAGGAAAGTTTGCCTAATAGCTAACAAAGGCAAATAAAAAGTGAACAATTTCAACATGTGGAGGCTGTGAAAGAACGGACTTCTACCAAAATGGATCACAGACACTGTACTGCATATCCCAAAGGTAGGGCACAAAGAAAGGCCAAACAACCTGCCTCCCCACCCCCAACTCTACTCCTGTGTTTGGCATAGCGCACAAGGGTGTGTGAAGAATCTCTAGTTCATTCTTCCAGTTAGGCGTATCCATAAAGCCTCTGTGCTTTGAAGACAATCAGAATATAATATACACAAGAGCAAACTGACCTGAGGCCCCTGGTTGAAACACAGCCTTGATTGTAAGGCTGAAATTAAGTGAGAATCAGGAAACTGCTGGCAAGCTTGTTTTCACCAAGGTGCCATTGTTTACAAAACCCAGACTCATTTATCATGATGGTGTGAGATAGTGAGTGTCAAGGGGCCTCCAATATGTCTTGCTCCCATGGCCCATCAGCATATAAGGGATCACTCTGATGCCATACACTGATATGGATACATTTAGAACTACAGCCATGAAAGTACTCACCAAAGAGGTTTGATGTTGCTTTATGGAAAGCAATAACAAAGCTTTCGAAAACATTGGTCTTACTTTAAGTTGTAAAGCTTTAGTGGCTTATGCACCCCACTTACAAGACTGTTTGAAAATGAACTGAATACACTTGTGTTGATGGAAAACGTTCCAAATTCAAACAGCCTTTTCAAATTATTCTGCAAAAGATTAACTAAATATTTACAGATTTATTTGTATTTACATTAATTAAAACAGATTTAAAATATTAAAGCTCTCCTTACAAATGTTTTATTATAGAGCCAAGGTGCATGTAACTAGATGCACAAGGATGTGCATCATTGCTTCCCAGAGACTAAACCTTTTTCAAGTCTTACTCAGCCGAGAGGCCTGTGAAGTCACTCACATTCCTGCATTGATCAAACCCACTAGTTAGACATGAAAGCAAGACACACGAGTACACGCTGATTAGACTCTCTAAAAAGTTTCTACATCTGGAAAGACCAAAAACAGCCTCTCAAAAAATGCGAGACATTTCCCTTGGATTAAACTCCAAGACAGGGTTTATGTTCAGCTCAAGGTCTGAGTTAGACCATAAATTGTAGAAGTGGTTGCTGAAAAAAAGAAATCTGTACTGAATCAGCAAACTTCAGAGGAACTGTCTATTCAAGCCTTCAACAGCACATCTGATTGTCCTCATGTTAAAAAAAAATGTGTACACTGACATTGAGCATGTCATCAGGATATCACTGAACTGCAAACATCTTGCTGCAATTTAAATCATTTAAGTTGGCTGTAAAAACTTCACTGTGATACCAGATAGGGATGAAATACAGAAATCACTAACAAGTCCCTAAAGATTTAAACAAGTTTAGCAACCTACACATGCAGAATACATATAGAATGATAAACTCCTTCCCATGATGCTTTCTCTTGCAAATCAATTAGAAAATCACTGTCCTTTAGTGGTTTGAATTTAATAGACAACATTATCTACATGTTGTGATTTCTCAACATGAAGGAGGTGGGATGAGCACAAACCGCTACACCACATCATCTTTTCCATATGTCTGCATGCCTTCAGAGCAAATGTAACCCTAGTAAAATCACAGTGTGGCTGATTCTCATTGTGATTCATTGCTTGGATAAGGTTGACTAAACTTCCTTCTCACATCCAGGAGAAAAAGTCCAGCAGTGTCTAATGACTCTAGCATTTACCATCCCATCCTATATTGATTATTCAAAAAGCAGAAAGGAGGAAGACGGCTGCTGTCTGATCATTATTTAATTAAATCCTGGATGATACAAATGACCTCATTGCATCTCAGTTTAAGAAGGTTAATAAAAAGTAACAGAAATAATTCATAAACCTGTACAGTACCTATCCGCCATTGACTGTAAAGTTCATTATGAATCTCCAGTGTTTAACATCCCTGTTAAAATGCTCTTCTTGCCATATGTGCTCATCTGGACTATATATTCATGGCAGCTGGAAGTGACAGCTCATCCAACTTTCCATAAATCTTGGAGATACTGCACAAGAGCTGAATGAAAACCATATGAATACGAATTTGAGGAGAGAGCAGGAAGAAGTGAGCAAGAGACAGAGAGGGGAACAGGGGGACCAAGAGACAGAAAGAGAAAGAGGGGGGGGCGGGGAGGCCAACCTACAACTGGAACAGATAAATCAGACAGCGGAAAAGTAAAGTGATCTAAGAGGTTTAATACAATAAACAAAACCATATGTGCAGATGTATGTGGGACTGTGTGTGTGCATGCGTGAAGGGACTCAGCATCACAGGGTGCCTCCACCACCGAGAAAACGCTCTCTCCTCACAGATCAGTGTATGTCTCTTTATATTGGTGTGTCACCAATGATTGGGGGCGACGGCCTCTTCTCTTTCAACTCTAAATTAGCTGTTTTGGTTAGTGAACCAGACTTGCAGATCAAAAAGGTCAGACATGCCCATTTAATCCTGGTAAATCTCCCCCTTCACATCTCGCCAGCCTGTCAGCTTCTGTGTGACAGCAACCATCACAGACACATGCCTTTGCTCTGTGCGCCTCCGTGAATCTCCCCCACCCTCGCTCACAGCAGTTGTAGTTTTTCTTTCAGGACTGACATTTATGTGTCCCAGAGTAGTCATTGTCAACACAGTGAAACAGTGTCATCTTTCCAAAAATCGTGGATGTAGTGCTGGTCAGGGAGAGATTCTTGATCTGATCGTCTACTTTTAAGAATGCTAAATACAGCCACTGATAATCAGCTCGCGGCTGGACTCGTCAGCAGCAGGGGTTTTAAGGTCACTTGGGAGTTTGGACATCTACATCTGAGGAGCAGCAGCTGTCTTGACCTCTGTGAAACTCAAGCTGAGATGGAAAAATATAAATTTAGTAAGTTCTACTTAAGTTTGTGTACAAGTGACAGTGTATGCTCCAGGCAGGTTAGGATCTCAGGATGTTTTTCTTCAAGCTTCAGATTTGGACCCACATTCTTCCCTAGAGGCAACAATTTAGCTTGACCCAAGAGGCCATTGTCGTTACCTTATTTGTCAGCCTTGATGGGATATAGATTTATTGCTGATTTCTTAGATAACCAAAATAAAGAAATCATAAGGTGTCAAGGAAAAGCTCATATAGGCCTACTCCTACCTATCACACTTTTTGGGGGGCTATAGACCTCACCCTTATGGACATGACTTAGGCTTAGGGAATTTGGTGATGTGAAACGTTCATACACCATTCAGATTTTCGAGTCTCAATTAGGTGAAATTGTTTCATGAATCAAATTAAAACAGTGCTTCCCAAAGTGAATGACCACAAACCATTCTTGAGGTCTTGAGGAGTTCCCCAAGTCCCCAAAAAACGGGTCATGTCATCTTGGAGTTTGCCTTATTTTAAGGATGATCAAGAATGGCTCTAAAAAAACTTCCTATAAGTGACTTAGAAGTATAACTTCCCTATTTCGTTTTTTGATAGAAAATGTAAAGCACAAGAAACACTAATGTGTCCCATACTTCATTTGGGTTAATAAGAATTGGGATCAGTTTGAATAAGTTCTGGGTCTATCTAAAAAGGACAGTTCACCGGGGGTCTCACAACTAATATAGAACACGTCCCATCAAGGCACAACAGCGTGTATTTTGAGTTGTAAACAGGACCACCTCTCACCTGTTTGAAGTCCGCCACAAAAGTGATGAGTGCCCCGTCTCCCTGCTTGAATTCGACTGATATCAAATCTCTCTCAATGTCCGCCTCCAAAACCTCCTCGGTCACCAGCCCGTCAGCGAGCCGGACCCGGACCCTCAGCTCGGAGCACAGTCCCACCGCCACCAGCAGCACCAGGGCGCAGATCCGGGTCAGTATCCGAACTGAAGCCACAGAGACGCAACTCGCAAACATACCCAAAATGCGCAAAACTGAACACGACAGATGAAAAAACCGCGGCGAAATCCAAAGATCTGCGTTCATATCCCCTAACTATTTTCTTTGATTTTTATTTAAAGTCGTTTCTTTCATTTTCAAACTATAGATCGCATGTCGCACTTCCATATGGTCCACTGTGTGCAAGTTGTTTCCAGTATCACAAGTACGCTCATGAAAATGGATAGGTTCTTAACTAAAATCTCTGCTTCTCACTTCTGGGATCCCAGGTCACTTCCATTGAAAGTGTCTCGCTCCAGCGTTGTTGATAAGATCATGCGCATTTCAGTTTGCTCTCCGTACTACAGCCGATGATCGCACACGTTGCTTCTCTTTCGGCTTTGTGTTGATATTCCCGTCACCGCTTTTTCCTACTTCTGCAATTCATGCAGTCCCGTCACTTCCTATCCGTTGGTATCCCACTGCTTGCTTGGCCTCCAAACTTTCTGTTTTGTGAGAGAGTGAGCACAGGGATGGTAGTAAACTCTTAAAGCCATACCACCCTCTGAAAACGTTGCCCATCCCCCTAAGGCCTCATGTGATCCCCCTGCTCTCCAGCAAGCAGGCTTAACTAATAACACCCCCAACAATTATAACAAAGGTGTTGTTGGGATTTGTAAATCATAGCTCTGTGGATGTTGTTCTTGTCATGTAGAGATAAATAAAAGGCTGGGCAAACTACCTGCTGCTCATTGTAAACAAACAATAGTAACTTAAACATTATTATAAAAATATTTGTAGGGTATACAATTTTTTAAGTTCACAAACCCTTTCATATCAATATAAATAGTTTGTTTTACGGAGGAAAACTTTGATTAAACACATATTTTTTGCATATCATATATTGTGGTTATTTGCATCACATATGTGTGAATTTGAGGCGGTACTACAGTTTACCATCTTCAGGATTGATTATCTTAATTTCAAGTTTGAGAACAAAAGTTGAATATAAATAAAGAAATTGTCTTTGACCTCAATCTCTCTGAAAGTGTTTTTGTTTATGACTTTGGTTGCGACACCCTGTGAAATAAATCTATCAAGTAATAATTATCCCCTTTCATGACAACATAAGATTGATTCACAGGTTACAGAATCAAGAAAGAAACAGTCACGCCTTAATTCTCCTCAAATTTTATTCAGTTTTGTGTTATCTGCAAGGGAAAGTTTAACAAACCTGAGGTGTGAGTTGGCAAACAGAGAAAAGCTGCCTATCTGAAGGTAAATCTCAGAGCCACATCAAATGGTTGATTACCATTGTGTTTGTGTTGCAAAAAGGTAAGGCGACATCCCTGCAATAAACCACCTGAACAGTTTTATTATCTCTGACGCACTGCATTCTGGGTGGGCCAAGCCCTGGGCGGGTGACCCCAAATGTGGCAGGACTTGAGTGCTGCTCAGACCAAGAGGTGGTCGCTCCAGTGAAGGGGAAAGCAAACAGAGAAGCTGTAAAGCCGAACAAACATTGTTAGCCAGGCCTGGCAAACCAAACGGGGGCCCTGATAGACTGAAGGATGTCAGGCAAACACACCCCATTGTGATAGAGTTTAGTGTCAGGCTACATCTTAGTTAAATAATTTAAATAGCTGCTGTTTTAGGTGCTGTGATGCACGTCGTCATCCATCACTGTCATCATATTTTGTAAATGTACAATCACTTCTTTGTGATGATCATGGGGAACAAAGATTCGGAGGATTCATTTAAAAACCAAGTGTTTGCTTGATGCGCTTGCTTCACTCTGGATATTTATGCTGTATCCTCCCACACAGGAGTCCAAAGTGCAGCAGCTCTGTGAGGCAAGTGTACAGAGACTGTTTATGATTAACTAGCAATAGTGTTGTCCCACTTTAATGACGAACACAATGAGCAGTGTACAGTAAACCACGTCAGTGCATTTCCTCACTGGACTTTTATTAAACAGCCGGCGAGAGATGAGAACAATCTGTTTTGTTGTTTTGTTAAGAGGAAGCGGAAATGAAAATCAAACAAACAGCTATGCCTTATATCTGTATGACATCTATTATTAAGTGTTGATTCAATAGAATTTGAAAGTCATAATTTCCCTTTCACTTTAAACATGATTTCCTCAATTTCACAATGCCCTGGAATATTCTCATGAGGTTCCAGGTGAAATGCAGAGAAGCTGTTTGCATTCCTAAAGGCAAAACCTGTGAAATAGACACCACAGTCCTGTCTGGTCCGACTCTTGTGTTTTTGCTTTTTCACTCTCACACAGCTGCAGACATGTCTA